GGAGGTTTCACTGAGAGGGGCGGGGGCTCAGGTGAGAAATGAGACACACATGAGCTTCCGGTGAACTTTGGCACCAAACACCTCTGTTTGCTGCTCAGATGAGGTGTCAGAAATACTCGCGTCACCTTGGGGGTTCTCTGAGGCTGGCCCTCTGAACTGCTGAGGACCCAGGAGGACAGGGGCCCGCATCTTGTGACTGGGGTTTATCGAGTCCATCAGCTTATCACTTTTTCATTATGATCAACAGGGAAGTTCCTTCTGCTTATGATCTTAATTCAGCTGGTCAGTTTGAGCAAACTCCAAAATCATTCCTCCCTGCAGCTGACGCCCTTCTAAGAAGACCCAGCCTGGTCCAGGCTGACCATACTCCTAGGGGGCGGCCTGGCCTGGGACACACAGGCCCGTTATCTAGTCTTTCAAGAGGGCCAAGCCTGTGTCAGATCTGGTGGCTGTATCCATGGTCACGCCCCACTCCCACACACAAGGCCCACTCCTACTCTGAAAAAGAAAACTCATAAAGTCTCATTATCTTCATTTCTCGGCTCCACCCAAAAGCAGCAGAGCAAAAGGTTTGCAACAAACTTTCCCAGATCAACTGATTTCCCGGCAGCTAGGGGGGGGGGGCCCATGACGAAGCCAGCGAGATCCCAGAAACAGTTTTCTACTTACGACCTCACTTTCTGTTGCGCTCGCCCCCTTCCCCTCCACAGTGCCTTCTCTTGTGGAAAGTGATTCTCAAAGCGATGTTCAGGGCCGCCCCCCGCCCGTGCACTGCCTGGGCAGACACTGCAGTGTGGTCACCCGTGACGCAGGCGCCAAAATTAAATAGAGCCGCTCTCCCCAGCTCCACTCTCTGCCGTCACTTACACAAGCCTGGGGCCCAATGGCTCTTCCTGAAACCCAGAGGGGAGTTCCCTGTAGACTGGTGCCTGGTGGCCTGCTGACCACACCAGCCAGAGGGTCCGTGCCCCCTGCCCAGCCCAGGGCCCTGGCCAGAAGGAGCCACAGCAAAACAACATCAGAAAGGCACATGCTCATATATTGTCTCTTCTTTCTTCTAATCTCTATTCCCCACATTTTCTATCATGAGCATACGTTCATTTTCCACTGGGGGACAAAGGCAAATTTAACTGAAAACAAAAACGAAAAGAACATGAAATTGATGCCTGGTCATTGAGAGACCTGATCAAAACTAGGGTGGGGAAGGGGCCAGCAGTACTCTCTGGGTGGCCCAGCGCCAGCACCCCTCGGTGCAGTTCCAAACCCTCCCTGGTAGCCGGCTGTCTCAGGAGAAGAGGGGCGTTTGCAGAGGCCTAGGTAGCAGGAGGCCCAGCAACCCTCCTATGGGCTGGACCCTCTTGCCAATCAGATCCTGTGAGAAAGGCGCTCCATTCTTGGGGTAGGGGGACCAGGCGATGTGATGGCAGAGGCTGGGCTGCCTGCCAGTCCAACTCTGAAGCTGACGTGACATCAATACCCTGGGGACAGATGGACACATCCTGCCTGTCTTGGATTTATCTTCCCCTTGGTCTCTTGGCCCTTGGAGGGGGTTTTCTCTGCATCTGTGCCCAGGATCCATTCTCCTTCTCCCGGGGCTTGGGACAAGGACTTCAGGGTCCAAACAGCCCAGGCTTCCAGTCCCTGCTGTGGCCCTGATGTCCCTTGGTGATATGAAGGCCCAGTCTTAGTGGCCCGTCTGTGGAGTGGAGCCCCCTCCATCCAGGGACCCTGCTGAACAAAACAAGGTTGCTTTAGTGAGGACACAGAACCCACAAACACGAGAACACAGAGTGTGCAAGTG